TTGCGCTGACAGCTGTTGCAATTTAAGTTTTTGTATGTGTGAAAAACCACAGGACTTAATGAATTTTCCATGTCTTCATGCTAATCTGTTGTTCTTCAGTCGAATCCTTCCTTTAGAACTAGAAGAAACATCCAGACATCATCCAGTGAAACCCTTTGTAGAAGACTTGTTTCCATCTCGAGGTCCGCCGGAGGTTCAAACCCTCCAGCACGCTCGATCATTGATCATGCTCATGCCATGTCCAGGACCTGCCCCTCCCTGCAAAGTAGATCCTCCGAAATCCGAAGTTGGTTACCGCCCATGCCTGGTTTGTACTTACACAGGTAACAATATTTATCCACTTTAGAAGTGAGACTCCATGTCTAGCCAAATCACAACCATTTTCCGCTATGCCAGTTCTGTGGTGGTGTAGCGCGTCAAGTTCGGTGGGCCATATACAAGTCATTTCACGGGGTCTTGGCAAGACTCCGTCTCTTCTGAAATAGGGGACATGAACATGAACCAGACAGTTGCCCAGACATAACATCAACCAGACAGTTTGGGGAAGACAGTTGGACACCAATTCCTGATGTCTTCTCTGAGAACCAATTCCTGATATGACATGGCTTGTTTCAGACTTGGCTTGTTGACTGACCTTGGTTCACATTTGTATGCACGGTGCGTGTGCTTGTGTGCCAAAATGAGCACCGCTTTGCAGATGAAACGGCCAAAGAAAAAGCGGAACTCGCCCCTCACCCCTTGAAAGCCAAGGGCGCAGGAACCCTCACGAAACCCCGACTCGACTCTCACAAGCCCAATCTTCTTGTTACTAGTAGTACGGCCAAGAGCCCCTAGTAGCGTCCTTGTTCCTAGTAGTAAGAATGCTCCTAGTAGCGATGCCAGGAGCCACTAATAGCGTCCTTGTTACTAGTAGCGATGCCCTTTGCTCCTAGTAGCGATGCGCTTGGGGTTTCCGGAAAAAACAATTGACAATTTACATCAAGGAACAACTGACGCTTAATTATTTTAGTATGGGTCCGACTTGGCAAATTGGCCCGAAAGTACTGCTCCGTCCAGCCAAACTGGCTTCATCAAACGCCTCGCTGGCGCTTTGCCACTTTTAATCTTGTTTCTGTGTGAGAAATCCTCTTAAATCGGGTTAGATGACTAAGACTATAACTAAGTAGGGGTCTCGCGGAGCAGGGCCAAACTGTTTCAATGAGAGTGTGTGTGTAACCGAAAAGGAATTAGACATCTCAAAATCTTGACATCTCACTGTAAAATTGAGATCTTCCAGTTCAAACTGGATGATATAGCTTTTCTGTGTTTAATACTTATCACAAGCGAATCATAAGCCTCAATAATGGGAAAAAAGGGGGTTGTATACCCATCTCTTGGTCGGCTTCTGGTTCAATGTTCCATCTCATTTTTGTTGGTATGTGTTCTTGGCCTCCAAACCAAGCAGGTTTCTTTTACGCTCCGCAGCAAGACAAGAGAATGCCCGAACACCCTCCACGCCGAGACGGGGAAATGAGATGACGGGGGATCAAAGAGAGGTGATCGAAGAGATGGACTTAAACCGACCCCACTTAGTGCATTAAAAGGTTTAGGCTAGCAATAAAAGTGGGGTGGTTTAGGCTAGGAATCAAAGGTTTTGAGCCTAAACCGACCCCACTTATTGCTAGCCTACAATTCCTTGGTGGACCTTCTATGCTACTAGTCACGTATTGCTGAGGGGGTACCCGGTTGGAGAGGTCAAAAACATGGTGAGTCCCGTTCAGGAGGGTCTACAACTACTTGGCCTGAGCCGGACACCCGCTGCAAGCCCAAAAGTGTGTGATCGAGAAATGTGTTCGGCAACGCGTGGAAGGCCTTTAGGTACCTGGGATTGGAGGGAGCAGTTGAGAATCTTTGCACCAGGAACCCCCTGAGCAACCATGAGCATCAAACGCATCGGCATGTCAGCGAAGTGGATCTGGCTGCCTAGTCGCAGCAGGCGCAGAGTTTTTCGCCGTTGGAGTCTCTTTGGCTCAAAAGAGAAAGGCACAACTTGCAGCAAAGCAGAGACCTCCACCAACCCAGCCATCGGCCCTACAGCCACAACCACACCCAAGCACCATTGGTGACCGTGGTGATCTCATCAGACACAGCACCACACCACCAGTGGCCCACGCTTCGTGGCCCACGCGGCCAGGCCCAGGGGGGGTGAAAGGCTGCAGCTCATCGGATCGGCGGCCCCATAAGCCAAAAGCCCGAAGATGGCGTTGGAGGTGAAGAAACTGGAGTGGGATCACGAGACCCCAGTCTACTAATGTCTACTAACCTATCAACAAAGAATGAGATGTTTGCATTCCAAAAGAACAGGCTTAAGCGAGGCTTATCCTCACACACCTACACTAAAACATGTTCGAGGTTCATCCAGCTCGGTATTCTTAATCGAGGGAGCCAACGCACGTTTGTCCACATGGTGAATGACCATCCAGTGTCCATTTGATCCACCCTGCTCACAGCCTTGACGCTTCTTCGGTGGAGCCGTGGCAGCCAACGCTTCCAGTTCCCGTGAAACAGGGAAACACCCTCCTAGCAGCTTCAAAACAAAAAATCACGCTGCGAGCTTGAGAGGACTTTCATGTGCAACCAGACATGCAAGTTTATGACAAACACTATAACATCTTATAACCTCTCTCACCGCACTATTATTGCTAATGATCGAGGTATTCCTTTTGAAGATAGGCGCCGCCTCGTCAGACGCAAAAAACGAGGGCAATGTTTGGCCATTAGCCCCATGGCTCCAATGCGTCACTGAAGATGGATGTGACCGAAAGAATCACGGCGATCCAGGGCCTCGCGGCCATGAACCTGGGCGGAAAGAACAAGTCCAGCAATGGCCGGGCTCTCAGGGAAGCCAGAACAACACCGGGGTTTGCAAGTTGGGGCTGGCTTCCGTTTTCTTGTTAACCCCAATCCGCTTGGGGCTGGCTTCAGTTGGCTTCATACTTATTCCAAATAAGCCTATTTTCAGATTGGGTTTTTTATTCCGTTCGCCATTGTCGCCCACTTGCACCATGGGCAGCATGCCATGGCTTTTCGACGCGACTGCTTCGCATCCAGGAAGCATTCGTCAGTTTCGCTCGGGTGATCCCATGGATGAAAAGGAGCCAAAGACGAACCTGGCACGACTGACAGTGGTCCGGACGGCGGGAACAGATGTTTGAGGTATTGTTGGCTTGTTCTTGGAGACAGGGAGGTTGGATAGTGTCTGGGCCATGATCATCATCACCCCTCCCAACCCCGGCAAGCTTCAGCTAACTCCCAGGAGGACATGCGAGACCTAGCAGATTTGGCAACATATTTTACCAAGTTGCTCGTGCCTTTTCAACCGGTGGTCGACCGCGGATCTGTTTTTTCATCCGACTCGAAGCGACTAGACGACCGCGACTGACGGTCCGCCCCAAGCCGTTCAGAGAGTGACAAAGTCAAATCTGTCCACTTGGTGCAGGAGTCAAACCGGACGCAACGCCGACATGCTTTGGAGTGCAAAGAGGGGCTGGAAGAGTGCGTAAGAAGCAGTGACCAACTGCAAGGAAAACACACTCGGACAGTTCAAGACAGGATCGAGAAACATCAAGTAAGCAAAATCGCTGCTCTGTGCTTTTTCTGATCCCAGTTGCATCACGGCAACTCGGCCAACTTTCTTTCTTTCTTCAGTGAGTAGTTGTGTCGTTGATGGTTTTTGCCTTCTTTTCCAGGTCCATGGATGCAAAGGTTGCCATTCGCGCCCTAGAATATGTTTAATTGCAGCTCGTACTATGTGAGAAGCCAGTGCGCTGGTGGTTATAGGTGGTAAGTAGGCATGTGCACTGCTTGTGCCAAGACATTCAGTTGTCAGCTGGTTGGTCAGTTGGTGACAGGTGGGAATGCCTCCGGCATGCCATTCATCAGATTCACCAGCACAATGCCTCTTCGCTCTCCTTCGAGGAGCAAATGCATTGACGGTCTGGCCAGATGAGAAACATAAACCGCGACCTGTTCTAAGCATTCTAAGCCAAGATCATGCAGATATCTGAGGTCTCTACTTCACATGTTTTTTAAACATGCTCGGAAGAACATGGGATTGCGGTGGGATATTTTTAGAGGGGCTCTTGCCTTCCTCCCTCTTTTCATGTGTTCGACATGTTTTTCAAACAAATGACAGGATTGCTTTCTTTCCAAGTCCTTTGTCCTTTGGCCTCGTCGCACAAGGAGCTCTATCGGAATGCGTACAACTTGGTGTTGCACAAGCCACTTGGCTAGGAAGGGTCTAGGTCAAAGCTCTGCTGCCTATTTGCTCTTTGCAGTAGATTCTTTAACACAGACGCTAGAAAGGAAGGATGTCTACAACTATGCCAGAGAAACCCAGTAGATTTTGAATGAACTTGATCTGCACCAGCATTGCCAGTGGCAAAATATCATTTTATGCAGCTTTGATAGACCTTAACGCAGCAGCAACATATGTATGTTTGCAGGTAAGTCATGCCGGAGTACGTTCAATCCAACCAATAGGGTCCGACTTGATGAGCAAACCAAACGTGAACACGGAAGTGCACACGGAAGTGCACAAGATGCTTCTAGCCAGCGGTCCCCGTGCGGTTGCTAGACATTGAGATCAGCTTGATGGTTGGAGTTGAGCCCCTCTGGGACGTCAGCAGGCAGTGTTTGATAGCTGGAGGAGCAGGCAGCAATGAAGCTGTGATGCCCATTTCGGACAGGACCACGACCAGAGGAGAACCGGTTCTGTTTCTGATGGAAGATGTGTCTTACTCCGTGTATGCATAGCTTGTTTGAATGCAAAATCAATATGGCTCTTTCAAAAGCCCCTCCCCCATGCAGTTGGAATGGTTTCACAGTTTCACAAAGAAAAAAGGCTCGCTCTTTTTGGAGGACCACATTCCGATTCGATGGCCTCTTCATGGGCTATTGGAATGGGGGGGAGTCCGGAAGGCTGGGACAGGTCGACCGGGTTTTCGCTCTCAGGTACGGCGAGCTTCTCTACAACGGTGTCCAGGCGCAAAGAGTGCCACTGGGTGCGTGGCCCAAAGTGGGTGATGTGCAGCCAGAAGTTTGAGTTTTGACTGAAGATGAGGTGCATGACGGGACACACAAGGAATTGACTCCACTTTCAAGAAGCGTCCACACTTCAAAGACATATCATATAGTCAGGAAATGTCAGGAATGTTTGGCCCAAGGAGACAATAGCCCAAATGCTGCATACTCGTCTCAATTTCAGTGGCCTGGTCAGACTTGGAGCCATCATTCACTGCGTGGCCGCCAATTCCAGGGAGTGGTGGCGGATCATCTGAAGATCGTGGCACAAAGCTGCATCGAGTGCCCGGGTATCTCAGAGACTGTCTACGAAGTGGATGGCGGAGAAAAAGTGGAGATGTCGCTGTTTGGGTGGTGCGATTTGGACTTGTAAATTTCATTGAGAGACCCCTACTGTACGCATTCGTACGCATTTGTTCGCCGGGGGTCGAACTGAGTGGACGTGGAGGGGGGGGACATCGTCGCACCCCGACATCGTCCACCGGAGGAGACGGGTCTATGTGTTTGACGGGTCGACCCTAAACCCTCGTTGAGTGAGTGTTACATTTATAGATTCACTATTCAAAATGCATGCTGATATCTATGAAGATCGAAGATGTTTTGTGGCATCAAGATAGATACAAGCATATGTTCTTGATTAAACCACTTAATTCACTGCTGGCGGACGTATTGTCGCAGGATGGTATCAAGTGATTTGCCAGCATTCTATGCATCTCTTAGCCTACGGCGAAACCAAAGACATTCTTCATTCATGTCAATTCCGGATCATCTTCTGCATAAAAGTGAAGTCCATAGTAATGAGTAGTGAGAAAGTCCCTAGTCAACCCTGAAAAACAGAAAAGGCAGACTACCAGGGATGCCTGCCATGCTGTCGGGTTTCGATCACATCCCTTGCTCAAGGTGTTGGGTAGATCTAAGCAGTGCATCTAAATTAAGAACAAACATGTTCTAATTTTTATTTGTACACGTGTAAGCTCTGAGGTGAAGCTGGACGATTGCCAGAAGGGATTAAGGCCTACCACTGACTTATTGATGTGGTCCTTTAGAGTCCATCTACAATCACCTAGATGCATCACGAACGCATATTTTTTTTGATAAAGCTTCAAGCCTCAAGCCCCACCAAAGCACATTCCATTTTTTCCCCAAGATGCGACGTAGGTGGAATTATATATATTATTGCCACATACCCAGCCCGCAAGAGTGGCGTTCTGTACTTGAATGATTATAGACTTGTGGTTAGCTTGGCTGTTGAGGCTAGCTTTGTTTGGTCGCCTTGAAAAGAGTGCAGATGGCCTGCTCCCATCAATTATATAATTGGACACTCAACAGGCAAATTGCAGACTATCCTTGTTTAATTTGGACACCCAAGTGACAGCCAAGTGTCTGACTATACTTGCTTTGCTGCGATTCTTCCTCCCGCTTCGGTGCCAAAGCAGGTCCAGATGATCGGCTCTTGGAAGAGTTGCTTGCCTGGCCAGTTTTATTTATAGCCCGCCTGGTGATATGGCAATCAAAACCCTATGCCCAAGGTGCACATCCTCAAGATGAAGTGTGTAGTCAACACCTGCGGGTTTCCACCTAATTACAAGGTCCCCTTACAAATGACGGACACCTTGTTTTCCGAGTTGGAGTGCCCTTGCGGGTGGATGTCAGCTGCAGGTGGGTCATGACACCACAAATCTCGGTTTATAAAGACATTCCACCAATGGTCCTCGCCGGGTCGTCAAGCTCGGATTGCAGATGATTGAATCGATTTGAACTGATGACGAAAGGAGGCGGTAGGAATGTTTCTTGGGATCAATTATGTAAATATATAAAGGAGGTCACCGAGCAGATCTTCTCGGCCAGGAAAAAGCAGTGGGATGACCACAAGACCACTATGGCCTTGGCTGCCCAGTCACTGTTGGCTGGCCTTGGAAAGCATCTCACCCACAGGGAAGTGCCCAAACAGTGGTGAAATGCGGGCATTAGAAGGCAGTTTTGGTTTGGAAGTGCATTTGGGTGCATTTGCATTCAGGGTATGAGTTTGGACAGCCAATTTCAAAGCAGGCTTAGTAGCAGATTTGGCCGATGGTAACAGCAACTGATTCAGCGGAAATCATCACAAGGCGTCTACGGAAGGGCAACAACACAGTTGTTGAGCTGGCCTACAATCATTGACTTGAACAACAGACAGTCTTTTCATGAAAAAGACCAAGGGACACGCAACTCTGCCACTCTGCCTGGCAGAATCTGGCACGTTTGTGAGATGCAGTGTAGAGTACTGTTCCTGCCCGGAACGTGTGATTCGTCATAAAGTCATGAAGATCTGTGTGCAATCCATGTAGTTGAGGACCTTCACGAAGCCGCCCAAACAGACCAGGCGAAATTAACCTCTCGGAGATTTCAGGTTTTTTGGGGGATCGGCAGATCAAAGATCGTCTGCGTTATTTTCAGGTCATGATCAGGGACATCCTCATGTACATGGACAGGAACTTTGTGACTCAGTACAAGAAGGCCTGGCGGACTCCGCCTTCGCCTTGGACTGATGTAGCGGCTAGCAGCGAAGCTTCTCGAGGGTTTTTGGCGCTGATGGATGTCGTTGTGCCGGATTCGCCGATGGTCAACACGTGGACTGAGCCAAGAACTGCGAAACTGATCCACATCATGATCTACTCTCTCTCTCTCTATATGTAGTTGGACCACGACCCCCGGTAGGCCGTGTGTTTTTCTTGCGATTTTTACTTGTTCGACGCTTTTTTGCATCCCCGCTCCAGGTCTTCGTTGCATTGCACAACAATAAAACATATCTCAGACTGCATGCGTTGCACAACAATAAAACATATCTCAAACTGCACATAACATGATGCTAGCTCCTCGCATGTGAATTGAAGTCACAAAATGTTTGCTATGTTACACTCTAAATTGTACCCGTGGGTGGAGAATTTCCACGTTTTTGCCATTCGCCAAGTTGATGCTGCGTTGGGTATGGATTGGAAGTTCTCTGATGTCTGTAAACTTGCTTACTTGCAACAACAACACGTACGACATGGACAGTTGCTGACGGTCAGAGCTGCAAATTGTTGGGGTGGGGGGTGGGGGGTGGGGCCAACACAATGACGTCGGTCTACATTGTTGGCCAACATAATGACGTCGGTGGGGCCAACATAATGAACGAGCTGTGCAACGTCGCTAAGCAGAGCCGGTGAGTGCAAAACAAAGTAGTTTTGTGACTTCGCAAAACGTGGAACTTGCAGTTGTATCTTTGAAAATGATAGTGGCGCTACAGCACCGTGCGCATGTTCAATTAGACGGTCCGTCCACACGAAACGCCACGGCCTACCGGGGGTCGTGCACCATGTAAATGTAGTTATACCCTTATCAGGCTGACAAGCAGTGTGGAGCTTGATGAGACGAACACAGTCCTGGTCAAACATGTGAGAAAGACTGACCAAAGTTCCCATCGAAGCAAACCATGCAGTGTACAAGGAGCCTAGCCTCCCAATCAGTCGGACTATTCGCAAGAGCCACAATGAAGTCTTACAAGGGGACGGTCTCAATTGAGAATGAACATGTATATAGTTCTATAACGTTTTACAAAGAGGCATCAGAAACATTTGTCGCGGGAAGGTTTTCCAGGACTAGTCTTTCGCTTTGGGCATTGGACTTGAAGAGGTTCCTGTCTACGAGATGGGGCTGATGATCTTCAGGGAGAAGGCGAGTGGTGCGGCAGTGATTTTGTTTGACCTCCGAAACAGGGGACCAGGGGCATTTTTTGGTTCCACTTGTTAGAACCAGTGGGTGCACCGTCCGGTGGACCAGACGTCAATGGAGACAAGTCGATGGGTGAAGGGAGTTTCTCGTCGATGCTGGCCGGTTCTTGCGTTTCTCCGCGAACACACACACACACACCCTCAAAAACGCATTCCGGAGTTGTTTTGAGACTAAATGAGCATCCACCAGCACATCCGGCTTCTTCAGCCATATTTGACCAGCATGACTTGCAGGAGGGTTTGTGCTGGCTTTCCGTGGACTGGGGTTGTTCCCCTGAAGAGTTCCAAGCGGCTATAGGCTATAATACATAAATGGGCCAAGCCACTCAGCTTGCTGTAACGCCCTAGTGCGTGGAATTCATGCTACGGTTGACGGAAAGGAATCTGGTGAGTCACCTACGATAAGGGCCGCACTCACGCCGCTGAGTGCATGGCCACGCACTTTGCGAATCCTGAGTATGGTGACCATGATACGTCCTAATTCCTTGTCCTTTTGATGCTAATTATCGCAACGAGATCACCTCCAGCCGAAGGATCAGTCTGTGTGCATCCCTCTACCAGGTCTCTGGCCATCCGCGGGTGAAGACACACCTCCTCACCTTGATGTTGGACAACATCAGTGCTGAACGCCGGGGCGAGCAGGTAGGTGAACAGGGCGGGCGCTCGCGGCGCTCGCGTGGTGTTTGCGCTTCCGCGCAACAGTTGCCAGAGGTGATGAGTCACTTGTTGGGGGAGGAGATTGCATGTTTGTATTTTTTTCCCAATCAACAGGAAGTGTTTGCATATGTGCCATGGCCAAAAAGGCTGTTGCTTCCTTTACTTGGGATGATCATCCATCTCTTAGTCAACCCCCATATACGGAGTGTTGAATCGTTGAACAACAAATATGCGGTATTTCATCAGTGTCTGTGCGATACTTACTAACCACCAATGTTGTTACATTCGAATCTTCTTAAACGGGTCCTTTGCCTGCCATGTGAACACCAGCGTGGGTCGACCAGCGTGGGAGAGACGTGTCTCTGGACCGAGTGGACCGGGTGGGGTGTCACGTGACGTCAGGTGGACCGGATCCTGCTGAAGCACACGGTGAACATGTTGGTGGAGCTTGGGGTGCAGGGGAAAAATGCCCGGGACTTGGGCTTTCCTCGACGAACGTTTGTTCTCCAATGTTTGCGTTTGGAGTCCACCTCTTCTTTGGGATTCGGAGTTCGCATGAGTTCGCCCTTCTGGGCCATGCTGTTTGCAATGGATAGAAAGTAAATGTCTACCTTCCATTCCAACTTAAATCTTCACTTTGCACCTTCGAACATATGATAGGAACATATATGATAGTTAAATTTTTAGTTAGCTTGTTGCTTGTCTTTCATGGTGCCAGCACCTGCTCCTAGTCGAGCTCAGCATCAGGTGTACAGAGAGTGTTTTGAAGACCACTTTCTGGACCACACCAGGAAGTTCTACCAGGCAGGAAAGCCGGAAAGCCGCCACGCATGTGTCCGCATTTGATCATCTCCGTAAAGGGTCCCCTCGGCATGCCATCCAAACAACGGTGCTGTTCTGTCTGAAAATGAGGGCGAGAGAGGTGGAAGGCAATGGGGTGGTGAGAGCAGGGAAACCGAAGACTCAATAACTGCTCGTTTGCATCCGAACACCTTAGGACTATTCTAGAACACTCCATGCAGAACTATATACAGTAACGAAAGTTGCTCGGAGAGTCAAGCTTCCTCTATCCAAAAGTTGGGGAAAAGAGATGCAATGGGAGACGGACCATGCAAAATGCCAAGCCAACGCAGCCATTTTCCCAGCCCCTTTTATAACTGCAAAATTCGATTAAGGGCGTGAACAGACATACAACATGTAATCATATGCATACATCATGAATGGCCTTAGATGGTTTGATAGGACACACCCATCTCCCTCCACCCTACTGGCCCATCTGGAATTGTCAGGATGAGTCCAAGCAATACATCTCCCAGAACCCTTGCTCCGACTACCTGAAGAAGGCGCTCTGCACCACAAAACACCACGGCCTGGCGGTCTGCCGGTCTGTCAAAGATCTGGGTGTTTTTCTTCACTGTTGCAGCGATCTGCATCAATTGAGTAATACGGTGGGATTGATACTGTATATGATTCATCCATGTGAATCCATGTGGCAATCAGTTGCTGACATATTAAAAATTGTTACTGTAAAGAGATGTGAAAAGAAAACAGGAGGAATTGGCTCTGACATTTTGAGCAGTGGATGCATATGTACATTAAGTCAGCAAAGGACATCCTGCAGGTACAGTATATTAAGGGAATCCATCCCTTTGCAGCACCAAGACGGAGTCCTTCAGACTTGGAACAGGGATGAACGACCAAACATGGTGCAAGCTTCAGGACAGCTGCAACCCAAGCCTTGTTGTGTTGCTGAGGAGAAAGTCCTGGTAGTGTTCTTTGGGTTGGGAATCCAGAATCAATTGGTTTGTCGTTTGTGGTTTCAAAAGCTAGCTCTCTATTTTACGAGGACAAACTGTATATTTTTCTTGAAATTGTTCTGCACCTTCTCAAAATCATGCCACCACTGGGTAACACAGTGGTTCAAGGGCTGGCTCTGATTGAAGCCTTAGAGCAAGTCCTGGATTCATTGAGTCGAGTAGGATGCCATGCACCCAATGGGCGGGCCAATCGTTGGGTGTTCCTTCTCGAGGCAGAAAAGCGAATTCGCGAAGAGAAAGCACGAGCAGGGCTCCCATGCAAGTTGTGTGAGGATTAGGTCATGATTGGGTCTTGGAATGTCATTGTTAATGTACTAGTTTTCTACTAGTCTACCTAATCTTCAAACATCAATTTTGATCATGAAATCGATGTCCAGAATATTCACTGTGCTGGTTTAGCGTAGTTGCCGGGGTTACGGGGTTAATCCGAGGCATCTGCGCGGTAAAAACGGTAAAAAGCGAAATTTTTCTGTTTTTACCGTTTTTACCGGGGGGGCGCCCCTTTTTCTCTAGCATATCCGCGGTAAAAACGGTAAAAATCGATTTCTTGTTTTTTTACCGTTTTCCGCGGGGGGACACCCCTTTTTCGTCTACCATATCCGCGGAAAAAACGGTAAACAGCATTTTTTGTTTTTTTAACCACTTTTACCGGGGGGGCGCCCCTTTTTTTCTAGCATATCCGCGGTAAAAACGGTAAAAATAAAACATTTTATGTGTTTATCGTTTTTACCGGGGGGCGCTCCTTTTTCTTCTACCATATCCGCGGTAAAAACGGTAAAAATCGAAAAAACAAAAACCTTCCTTTTGTTTAACGTGTTTACCGGGGGGGCGCTCCTTTTTCTTTTACCATATCCGCGGTAAAAACGGCAAACATCGATTCTCTTACCGGGGGGCGCTTCCTTTCTCAATACCATATCCGCGATCAAAACGGTAAAATTAATTGTTGTTCTTTTTGTACCGTTTTGATCGAGGGGGGCAAACGGGTCTATGTTTTTTTCAGCTTTTAACGGAGGGTCACCGCTGTTTCTTCTGCCATATCCGCGGTTGGTAAAAATCGAACGTTTTCGATCCAAGTGATGTAGGCTTTCATTGCCCTGCAAAAGCTAAAAGTCATGAAATGTTGATCAATCACCAAACTCCTCTTGTCGAAAAGGGCACACGCTCCTATATGATAGGAGGAGTGAACCCCACCTGGTTATAGGAAGATACCCGGGCTGTAACATTAAACCTTTTTGTTGACACAGGTCTTCTAGCTTGCGACCTGGTCCCGAGGCATTCTCGCGGTAAAAACGGTCCAAAGTGAAAATTACTACTTTTGTTGTTTACCTTTTTTAATGAAGAGTCGCTTGCTCTTTTTGCTTCTGACATATCGTTATCGTTAAAATCAACTTTGTGTTATTCTCCGTTTTTGTAGGTGGACTTGTCCTGTAATTTTCTACCATCTCCGTGGCAAAAACGGTAAGAATCTTGGTTTTAGTCTTTTTTACTGGGGGGCGCTCCATGTTTAAATGGCATATCCGCGGTAAAGAGGGTAAACATCAAAAAGTTTATTTTTTTTTTTAACCATTTTTACCGGGGGGGGCGCCCCTTTTTCTCTACGATATCCGCGGTAAAAACGGTAAAAATTGAACATTCTATTTTTTTCCGTTTTTACCGGGGGGCGCTCCTTTTTCTTCTACCATATCAATATCCGCGGTAAAAACGGTAAAAATAGAAAAACATTTTTTTTTACATTTTTTTCCTGCGGGGTCGCGAAAGGATACCCCTTAGCAAAACAACGCTCGCGCACCAGCTTAGAATATTCATGTTTCCTTTCAAAGCAAGCAATGAAGTGCAAGCAATGTATTTGGATGTGAGGACATGCAGACCCTGCCTTTGTAGTCGTTTAGTCAAGTCTCGGGTTTTTTCTTCTTTGTTGAGGGTCATCCACAACAAAGACCAAGACAGAGGATATATTGTATATGGAGGCTCCACTTCCTCATCCAAGAGATAAGCCAGAGCGATAGATGATTGATCTGTCGGCATCCAACTGCTCCTCCATCCACAACGTTGCTCCGACCGAAGCCGCCGATGGAGGGTCCTACTTCCGAAACCGCTCACTGATCACCATCGGTTCCGCATGGATCAACTTGACTCCTATGGACCCGCTTGGAAGTTTGCTGTTCAAGGGAAATGGTCCGCTTGGGACCAACAGAGATGGGGACTTTTGAGTTGGGTATTGTTTGAGGGTTGGTCCTTAAGAATTCCCAATCTCAAGAACTGTCAGGAGCCATTGTTTGGGGGTTCCTGGTTCCTGCGACTGTCTTGTTGTTTTGCGCGCGCCGCAATGCGCCCGCGGCCTGTCCACACAGGTCCCGCTCGGTCCCTGGTTCCCGTCGAACCGAGGTGGAGAACTATTTGCACGAATCCACGATGGAGAAGATCCAGGCCACGCATCCGGACGCCACGTGGGTGGGTGCGATGACGGGTCTTATGGCCAGTCCAGTGGTGTTTTGCGGGTTGAACATGGTTTCAGTGGGTCTTTGTTGATAGACGCAACTTTTATAATTTCCCACGCTTTTTTGGGGATCCCCAGCACGTCCCTAGTCACTAGGCTTCTGACCCAGATAGGATCTGGGAGATCTGGGTGTCAACCTACCCTCAGGTCAGAACTCGCCAGGTCAGACTTGACAGGACTTGACAGACGAATTCCGAGGATGATGTCTCCAAAAGGAGCTGCCAAGAAGCTCTTGAAAAACACAACCATGGATGACTCCCAGCTCTGTAAACTCTGGTTCACAGCTGTGTGCTTCATTGCAGGAGCTGTGTGATGAAGAGTGGATACAGGTCCATTACAAGACCTTGATCCACATGGAGAACTCTGGGTTGCTTGGCAGCATTGGTCGATGTACGACGGTGTGACGGTCTGGCCGTCGATCTGTGGGCTGCTCCGACCTGTCGACAGAAAGGAATGGATTCCTTGGAGACACATGGGGACATGGGGACTGGGGGATTCCTTCATTTTTGGGAGAGTCACATGATGTCAAATGGCCTTTATAAAGATCTAGCGGCAGAGCCGTGGACCAGTTTTCAACGAACATTGCGTTGCTCTCTTCAATAACATACATGAAACTCCGACTCGCTGGTTTGAAGCTGGATGACCCGGAGGATTGGCATTCTGCCCCAGCAAAGAACCAGGCGAAGTCTTCCGAAGAGGATCGCATCGATGATCTGCATTCTGTTAATTACGATCGATGGAATCTTTAGGCTGGGCTGTTTTTTAGCCACCAAATGGTCATCAGTGGTCCTCCAGCCACCACTAGTGGCCCAAGTTCCAGGAACAAAGACGTGCCAGTTCAAGGAATGTTTGCACTGCACAAGAGAAGAAGCATACCTATGCCAAAAAAGGAGCAGGGTCGGATGTGCCTCAGATAGGAACAGCTAGTCTGGTGCCCTTTTCCTCTCAACTCTGCTTACTTTTTCGTAAGCGACTCAGCACTGCTTTTCTCATTGAACCGACAGAAGCGTGACGTGGAAAAAAGCCGAAGTCGAGTCGAGACGAGCCGACGTTCTGCCGACTCGACTTGAGGTGCGCATGGATGTTCCAGTGTGACAAGATTGCAGACCTGGAGAGGCAAGACGGTTAGCAGCGGAGATTGCACACCTTCCAAGGTTGATACTGTAGTCTGAAACAAATCTATAGATTAGTAGTTAGTAGTTGGGGAATCGGAATAGGTGGTTTGTGGAAGAACTGCAACTCTATCCCCACAAACCGAGAGTCCAACCGACCGGTCGCCGATCTCTCACATGTCCGAAGCGCATGAAGGACACGTGTCACGATCAAGCGATCTCCAATCACAACGCGAGCTTGGATGGTTTGTTTAGATCCTTCAGTTTCAAGTACTATTTCTGCTGCTTCCTTGTGCAGCTTCCTGATTCTGGGAATGCCACAGCCAACGATTTCTGCTGCTTTAACAACTCAGATCACCAGTGCTTCAGTTACATTGCCACGATTGCAGATCTAAGAGATCTACAAATCCCATCAAATTCAATAAATTGCACCCTGCATAGCATAGTTGGATTTTGGCTTTTCCATTCTTTTCCTACCAATATCCCTGGGGCAAAACCATCTAATATCCAATAGTCCTGGATATTTTTTCCCAAAGATGCTTCGTCAGGATGTACTTGCTCTTCAGCAGAGTACCTGTGACCTTGAAGGAGGTACAGAAAGTCAGGGCCTCGGTGGCCCTACTATCAGCACCATCAGACAAGTGCACAAATAAATGTGATGCCCTTACCGCAGTGGCTGGGTACTTCTATGTAGCACGGGGGATACATCGGAGTTATTGATCTCAAAGCAGATTTAACAAGCCTGCCTCTCGTTTTCATTCCAGGGTTGAGAATCAAAACTGAGTGTGGATTACCATCGACAGAGATCTCAGAGATCGGTCGAATCATGAATTGGTGGAGTTGGTGGCAGTTGATTCATGATGTAATTTCAGGATGGACGCTGCATGCATACTCAAGAGTCCTAGCAGGAACCAGGATAGTCATCCACATGCCTTTGCCGGGAGGAATCCTGCCCTATTTGGGATAAGGAAAACATCAGGAAGACCGTGATATGTACAGTGCGGTTCCCGCATCATGGGTACTGCGGTTGGATATCTTCCATCAACAGAAGTGAGCATGGAAGTCTTCCCAGTTTTGAGCTCTTGCCCTTCGACCCGTTGCAATCTGGACCTCTTCGACTACTGTGGCCCACATCTGAGGTCATGATGGATTGTATGTGTGAAGCAGGAGACATTTTGAGCATGAGCAAACAGAAGTTCTGGACTAAGATGAGGCTTGCTGAAGCACTATCTTTACTTTACCACGGAATGGAGATGGGGATGCAACAACTTTTGTTGTACTACATACAAGGGATGTAACCGTGCAACCTGAACCCTTGTTAAATTTAGCCGTAGAGTCTCTTCACAACGCTGAATGTCCGGGCCAACCAGTACAGTAACGGACACGTGCTTGTCCACTCGAGTCCATTCTTTTTAACTTCAAAGCAAGTTTCTCGTGTTGTGGAATCCACAAAACGGCCCACCAGAAACGGCCGGACCATGTTCACAGAACCTCCCTCAACGGGCTACTTACTGCCGGGCTACTCGTCACCTTCTTCCAGTCGGATCATGCAGGACGGGATGTACTGAACGATCCGGAGAAGGTCAAGGATCCCGTGTCCTTCATCACGGCCATCCTGAGCCTCAAGTACAAGTGAGCCACGCAGCGAGCGAGCCTGTTCAACCGGGCCAGGCCATTTTTCTGGGGGGGGCCGGTTTAGTTTAGTAATTAAGTCGGGTTCTTATTGAATCGGAGACTTCCTGACTCTGTTGACATATTATGTTTTCTATGTCAAAAATAGAGAAATGCAACATATAGGATCATACACGCGATCCGGTATTTAGTACAGTATCTAAGATCATACACGGTATGCAGATGATGCTGCACTTGCAGACATCTTCATAATATACTTTTTTCTCAAGATCAGTCCAGCAGCACAAAGTAGATATATACATGGGTGTTTGATACAGCTTAGGCTATTGGTGTTGACTGACAAAATCTGCGCTGCCATGGAACTAAGCTGAGCACCTTCCCAGAGCATGGTTGCAGTCTTGAAAATTTCAGCCCCTGCCCCAACCCTGTTCATGCATCAAAACCGAACGCTTCAATGGCCCATGGGACATGCCTTGGTGTGTCCATTTTGTCCATGCTCTGACACGCGTGATGGCTGTGTGCTTGTTTGTTGGTTTGTGAGGCAGAATACTCCACGCGAAAGCAGACAGTACCTACCGCCCTCCCCGAATCAACCATTTCGCACAGCTAGCAATTCAGTATGTCCAAGGAAGACAAGGTATTGACCATGCAGACCCTCGAATGGATTGTAAGTTGCATGCGTCACCCAGACCCAACAAAGCAAGCTATCGTTACAGTTACAGTACTTCAAACTCTCAATACACCATTCACATGATTCACAAGCAGAGGTTGCACACATCACAAACAATAATGCGTTTGTGTGGGTGAGATATGATTTGATTGCAACATTAACTAACTTTTCCTGGAAAGCCAAATCTCTTCAAAACCCATCACATGCAAGGAGCACCGTCCAACTGCTTGATATACCAGGCAACGGCATTGCAGACAGGCTGCATTTACAAGTCAACCAAATTTGGAAAGAAAGTATGGTTCATGGGTGCGAATACAAACAAATGAATACATATTTACCTAGTAGAAGTTGCTGCTGATCAATCTGACACACCTTCAAAGAATGTGTTTATATAAAAGATAAAGAAATCAACAGGCAAACAATTGTGCCTGTCATGGCTCAGTCGCCTCATTACATTGACCCTTGTGTTTGCCTTGTATGCACTGGCGACAGCAAGCTTGCAGACTTGACAGCCCATTCCTTCGCAAGCCTGAAGTGGCCATATATTCCATTGCATACCTGAGCCTGCTCTTCCGACATTGGTATCATGGTGAGAGTCAGTTATAGGCTTCGTAATGTTGCTTTGATTGCCAAGCAGCGCATTACGGACCATTGTACGACATCTCCCGCATTTTAGTCGAGATCCCATTCCCCAGAACACTAGATACATCCCTCATGCGATTGGTTCGTGGAGAACCCATACGACGGGCTCAGCCTCTTTTGACTGAGCATTGATGTTGACTTCGTGATGCCTATACAAAAGTTGCAACCAAATGATTGGATACCATCCACCGGGGCCCATGAGTATGACAAGTTGACTACACAACTACTGTAGGTGCTTACACATGTTGACTTGCTTTGTCATCATAGTTCGCACACTGACAAGGGCATCCTGGGTGGTCGTCCTTTTCGTCTTTTGATGTTTCTGCTGTTTGTGCTGTTGGCAAGCGGGGATGGGCGGATGGACAGACAAATGCCCGTCTTTGGGATCACCCAGGCCCCCTTGTAATGGGCGGTGCTGAGTGGGCCCAGACGGTTCAGGGTTGGGTTGTTGAAAGTGCCATGACTGCAGTGGTTGGTTGCGGTTAGTGTGGCGCGGGTGTTGGTCCAGGTACGACAGATTTGTCAAAGAGTCCTTCAAAGAGAGCAAGGACGCATAAGCGCGAGGAACTGATTTTTATGGAATCAACTGAACATAACCGAACAGCCAAAGAAACAGTATGAACATGAATGGATCCTGCCAAGTGCTCTTTCCGCAAGAGCCTTGCACCTCCCATTTGTTTGAGGAAGGCTATCTTTGCAAGACACTGCCTGGAATCATCCGCAAGGACTTTCAGTTGGCATTGAAGCAAGCTTTTGAGTCCTTCCTGAACAAGGACACTGGCTGAACTTCGGCAGGTGACGGTAGAGTCAGTTGAGTCGCATTGGTTGTGGCATCCAAAAAAGGGCACCCCAAAACAACAATGCAAAACAAACGCAGTCCACCCACGATCGCTTGAGCCGCAGGGGTGGCGCTGTTCGTAGAGTTTGAAGAGATTCACAGACTGCAGTCATCTCATCGATGGCTAGTCTTTTGTTACCTATTATGTTATATTATGGATGGCCAGAATTGGATATGACATAACGTTATAAGTTATAAAGGCTTTTGATGCTGGGAAACCCGTTGATGCAGACATATTCGGACACAATCGACCTTGAAAGAAACACACATCCACTTATGAAAAGAAGTCCATGCAATAACAGTTATATAGTAATAGTAATTAATATAACAAAAGCTATATAATTATATATACATATAGATCATGATTTGATGATCAGGACCACACCAAGACATCAAAAGACTAGGAACAGTTTGGAGCATGGCATAGATCGAAGGATGGACGAGTCTGCCATTCTGGGGTGGGATGGTACATGGGCGGGGATTCCCTTATATACTAGCTTTGATAGTCTGTGTGTTTGGGGGTTCAAACCAAGCCATGGAAACAAGAAAGTTTAGATCGATTGACCTTTACATCATGGGAGCTGCTTGTTCATGTTCAGAGAGTCTTTACCAGGCTGCCACGAACCACGTTCTTCTTCTATTTGCCCATGCTTAAATGATTTGCCACTGAACGCATTGACAGTGTGCCGCAGCCACTGTGCCCTGCAGCGTTCTGCGTCGGAGACCAAAGCGAGTTGACACCCAAATGTCTATTCAAGAAGCAAAAGAACGAGTCAAAATGTACCAGGTTCGGAGCACAATATAAGTTTGATGATCAATAAAAGCCGTCGCTCATATGTCATAGCTCTGGGATGATGCCTACGGGCGTGGATTGTTGGCTTTCCCTCCACGCTGGCACCGGCCGAGCGACACCTGGCCGGCAGGACACCCGCACTGCACAGTACTTGTCTCTCTATGTGGATGACCAGTTGGGATGCCCGAACATGTCTCGGTGTCTTTCAGGACTCCACGCAGAATAGGGAGCGGACTGAACATGATCGAGCCGTATGGTTTTTGTTGCGCAAAAAACCGCCCAGAGCAAACAGGACCGGTACTAACAAGGTCCTTCTTCCAGGTGCTTGATTAAATCACCTAAAGCGTGGTATCTAGCTCAAAGTGTTTGAAACCACTGGTTTCAACTGGGGTGGCCAGAGGCTTGAGAATCAAAACTAGCCAGAATTCCTCCTACGTGAATAGGTGCCAATAGCATGTCACCATGAGACTTGAGGCTTCATAGATGCCTTGAGTGGGGTATGGGTCCTTGTTGGTTCTGAGTTTTGGATCGATCGATCATGCTTAGCAACACTTGTAAGCCTTCAGTGTGGCGGCGTGTGTCCAGAGCCTCCAATTGAGGACCTATAACTGGTTGGCATGCTTTCCGACAGCACTAGTTGAGGCATGTTGAGGCTTGCCGACCCCCCTGGTAGTTTGGGCTCCTTCAACTTGCTAACTCATCTCCTTCAACGACAGCTCCAGTGAATTCGGTGTTGACAGGGGTCATGGTCCCCACAGTCCCCAGCCCGCCTTGGGCCAAGCGCCGCTCCCAGCGACGCCTTCGACGCGCGGGAGAAACGATATGTTTCAGGTTCCGCAAAGGGCTGAAGGGCATGTCCAGTGATGCTGACGTGGATACAGCACTGGAGCAGGCGGTCTGAAGGTTGCAAGTCGAACACCGTTGTATGTCTAGGCTGTGTAGGTGAAGTTGTCAGCAAATTATCCACTGTGACTTTTCGGACTGGATGGTCTTGGTTGCTGCCTCGGTTTTGCGCAGGCGGATCTGTAGTAAGACTTGGAGTTTGATGGGAGGAACACGACAATTCACAGGTTATGCACAGTGCAGGTTTTCGTAGAACAAACCTGTTTGGAATGGCTTTCTAGTCTTGGGAACGTTCTGAGAGACATGCAGCTTTCGGCCTTTACACGTCCTTGAGCAACTGTTGAGTGCCTCTACATCTGGGTTTGCATTTTCATAGGGAGACCCCATGTGTTTTGGTATATTTTCCTTCTTCCAGAGTGTCATTGGTACACGCCCATCTGCTACTAGTACACAGGCTCCTTCGCGAACGGAGATGGCTCCCTCGCGGGTTTCTTCCCCGCGGGAGCGAACGCAGGTGGTCACCGTCTTCCGGTTCTTACAAGACAAGGACGGTTGGCGCAGCTGCGTCCAGTCGCCTCCATCAGGGTCCAGTCGAGCGCCCTGGTCTTGGTGGTCTTGGTGGTCTGGCAAGTGATGCTTTGGACCATTTCAATTATCAACAATTGTGTAAGTGCACAGGGCTATGCCTGGGAGAACTCGTTTGTGTTGAAGTGAGATAGCCAAGTTCTTGAAGGATGCAATGATTCGACAAGCCAGGGTTTGGTATGGTTGGTTTCGCAACAGCATCACTCGGGTATTGACTCGGGTTGGCCGGTCTGGTGTTGTATTTGGATGTAATTATATATAAATTATTTGGTGTGGTTCAACTGAACTGAACTCACCCAAGGATTCACACCTTAATTCTGTGATTCTCTCCAGATTGGACGCTAAAGACCCCTCATCCAAAGTGGCCAAACCTGATGGTCAATCTGTCAATTGCTCTCGTCTGGTCCACTCCAGTTTTTGGTAATTCCGGGAGTTTCATCACATCCACAACTGGGTTGGATGTTCCCGTTGGTTCAGACACTTTGATGCTAGTTTGCTAGTCGCAATCCTGCCGCTTCCGGGCCTATATAATACAAAAGCCGGGATGTTGGCCAGTTGTTGAAGACCGGAAATGTTGACGACATAATCATATCATATACCCACTTTGCCGGACTTTTCATCTTACAGCCCCAGTCAGAGGTAGGGTTTCATTGATGTCTGAAGGATGTCTTCGAGAACTTCTACAAGCAGCACTTGTCCAAGCGGCTTCTCACAGGCAAACCCGTCAAGATGCGGCCAGATCTTGGGAACCAAGCTGGCACCTGGTTGCGAAAGGGAGGGGGTCGGTGAGTCAACGTTTGTACTTGTGTGAATAATTTATGGACTTGTAACAAGTATACAAGTATATAGTTACAAGTGGTATCAAATGGTATCCTCAATAGTAAGTGCAAAATGGGTCGGGCGGAAACAACACTTGTGAGAAATGGGTCGGCTTCGTCACCTCCGGAAATTCCGTGAATCAGTTTCAGTGATGGCTTCAAGTCCAGAGGGTGGGCCACGGTTGAACCCGGTCCGTCGAATTCTTGAAGGGTCGACTGCGAGTCGTGACCGCACAGGTCGAAGTGTCAGTGACGAAGCTGAAAGAAGTATGATCTCCAAGTTGAAGAGCAACTGGGCAATGCGAAACAGACGGAAACAGTGTCGTGTCGACAGACCAAAGTTCTCCACCACCGAGAATGGAACCATAGAGAATCCTTTCTCGCCATATGTACAGGGGATTTGTGATCCAGAGTTTCTTGGATGGTGCAGGACTTTGTCAACCAACAGTGCCCTTATTCCATATAGTAGGTCTCATTGCTCATGTTACGTCTTACGGAAGTGCAAATTCAGCTGTTGTGGAGCCTGATTTATATTTGTTTACATTTTTTCCACCTGTGGTGATGTTACAATATGTTACATAATGCATATCAACAGCGATGCTGATTTGTACGCGGCTTCCGAGCTTTGTGTGCATGTCAACCCTGTATAGTTTGATTCAAGTGTGTCCAAGAACAGCTCGTGACCAAACACCCTTGACATAGGGGAAAAATGAAACCCAGTAGCCAGGTGGCCTCCCAATCTTGAGACAATGGCACTGCACGCACTGCACCTTAGTGCTTTCTACACTTGCAGATCAGGGAGGGTTTCAGTGATCCTCCAATCATGCTGACAGGAGCTCAGAGCCAGAGAGAGAGAGAGAGAGAGTTCCTTGGCTGAGGCGAGTGTGGACATCAGTACACCTCCAAGTTGGAGGGCATGCCCAGTCCTTAGGAAGCTTGGTCATACTTGGTCTACTGTACATGTTTCTTCAAGAGGGGAACTTGCACGTGCCACCCAACGTTCCACATCTCACCCTTGCAAGAGCACTTGGCTATCTGTTCATCCCTAACCAGGATTGTATCAATCTAATCTAACAGTTTGTTTGTGACGTTCATTTGGAAAAGTGTCCAGCCCTAAAACATGTTATCGCATTCTTCGGCAACACATCATTTGAGGATGGACAAACTGTTTTGCAAGAATGAAACACTTCTCTGAGAGCATCGAATTTTGCGCTTTAGCACGGTCGTGACCTCTTCTTCTCCGGAGATGTCTACTGTAGGTTTCAAGACATGAAGCTGTCGGAAGACATCATGAAGCAGCAGATCGCCCAGCAGTTGACTTCGGATGGTTGGCCTGTTCCTTCCACGGCAAATCAATGAAGCTTTGACTCAGTCTTAAATGGCATGGATGACCATAGGTCAAAGATCACCGAACTGCATGGTCCAGCTTTTCTGAACATGTTTCTTCCATACTGTAAACACCTGGAGCTTTGTCATGTATAATACCTCAGATCACACGCAAACACAACTTCAGAGCTCCAAGCTTCCTGGCAGTGTGATGCATCAAGATTTCGGTCAGCCACTTGAGGTACAAGAACTCATTTGCGAGTCCTTCTCTCTCGCCGGACGCCCAAGCTGAGCTGCATGCGCCACATTTTGCCAAGCCATTCGTGCACCATGTCCGGACATGCACGGATCTGGGCAGGCGTGGTTCCCGTGCTGGGCCAGGCCCGGCCCGGTCTGTGTGCATTTGTTCCTTTTCATCATGCATACAATTACAATATATATATATGTATCTATCTATCTATCTATCTATATCTATCTATCTATCTATCTATATCTATCTATATCTATCTATATCTATCTATATCTATATCTCTATCTCTATCTCTATCTATATCTATATCTCTATCTATCTATCTATCTATATCTATATCTATATCTCTATCTATCTATCTATCCATCCATCCATCTATCTATCTATCTATCTATCTATCTATCTATCTATACAACTACATATAGTTAGATGTAAATTACACACTATTTTACATGGTTGCACCATATGGGTTCTAACCCTCGAAGACCCTTGTTGTTTTTTTTGTTTGTCATGATGTATGCCCCAACCACAAACTCTTCCGGGATCGGTCCAAGAACTCGACTCCAAGCACCGGGGTGGGGACCCATTTGCTTCAGATCATTTCACGGTAGAAACACATATTTGTAGGTTGGAGGAAATGGCGGAATCGCGAGCACAGGTGTCCGACACAAAAAACAACGTCTATGTCGTTCGTTCTATATTCAATGCAGGACAAGTGAAGATAGACGGGTTTTGCAACGACTTGTACCACCATCCTTTGTTCTTTTGGCATATATATATATATATACATACACATAGACATTCATATTATTTCATATTTTTATCATTTGATGAATAGGTTCAGGTACCTTCCGGTCAGTCCCGGGCTTCACCCAAAGCATCGGGCTTCGCTGCAGGGGTGGGATCCGCCGTGTCGTCGGCCTCATCCTCCATCGACATGAAGGCGCCGGTGGGTGGCAAGGCCTCCTACATCGATAGCCCGGTCAAAAAAACCACAGATGGGTGGTTCTATTGCCGACCAATTGATCAGTTGCGACCAGTTGTCCCAATAAATTTGGATGCACTCGTTGAATTGACAACATCCCAGATGGTCCATCTGGAGATCTACTGTATCATAGTTTATCAGGGGGTGTCGCAACAACAGTGCGTGGTTTCGGGATGGTGTGCAGAGATATTGAACCTGTTTCCCTTCTGAAATTCATTCATATCTGTGTGCTGGGACGTTGGGGGTCCATGATACTCTAGCGAATCGGTAAGCCTTTGCGATCGCACATGACTTAGGACCTAAGAGTGGTAGTTGATCCGGAGAAAAGCTTGGAGGATTCCAAGACCCCCAGAAAGGCCTGGACAAAGATAGAAACTGCTACGATAGAGAGGAAGAGTCTTCCACTGGCCCATCAACTTCATGAATCTTCGAGTGAGGAGTTTTCTTCACCTTTACATGTTGCCAAAGCGTTGCTTTGATTTTCGAGCTTGTCCTTTTCACAAGACAGGAGTGGCATGTCGGGCTTCACCAAAATAATGATAGACTGCAAGACCTACAGTATCTGACGATCCCAACGTTCGATTTCGGACAGTTGCACACACACATGTATATATATATATAATATATTTCCTTAGATCTAAGTATTAAACTCACCCAAAACCATCCAAAACCATTATTTTACAATTCTGGTGTGGACTTGGGACGCCCTGAATGAAAGAACCACTTCTGACTTTGTGCAGGGTCATTCCACGTTCTTCCAAGGTGTCTGTGCTCACCAGCGGATTTTGGCCAGGCAGATTGCGTGTTCTTGCATCCTTCGAAGGAAACTAAATAAGTATAAGGCATCATAAGGAATCCACCGCAGCCATCCGGGATACCTGTGTTAGTTTTTATTGAACCCCCACACATGTCGAGGATGTACCGGTACCCTGACAGCGACAGAATGCTACGACTAATTTCAATTACCGCAAGCGATCAGTGCAAGCTTGAGCAGCTTGATGTTCTTTGAGTATCCTATTCTTGAGCTTGGCAAGCAATTACTTGTCAGGATCACCAATGAACCCTTGCACTCTTCCTCCAGAAGTGCAGGACCGGGAACCCCAGCAGTTTTGCCAGGGACCGTTTGGTAAGCGAATGATCTGCCCTTGTTTGCTTCGATTGGCGGTTCCCCGTCTATTCTCCTCAGATGTTCTCATGTTCTCTACATAATGAATGTTCAAGCCATCGAGCCGCTTGGAAATCGCTTGCTGTATCAAGCCCCTAAAGATTCTCCAAAGGACCAAAGACTGTTCAATCATTTCAGTGCATCCACTCAGAGGATCCACTCGGCTGCAGACGCTTCAAGAAGCGGTGTGTTTCCTCACCAACGAAGCTAGTGCGGTACTTGTGGGTGATGGTGACTTGCTACAGAATGGCAACTGCCCATATCTGATTACATGCCAGAGAAGGTGGGGCAATGAGAGCTGGTCGCAGACAGGGCAGGTTTTAACTAAGATCACGCCAGTGAAAGGGCAACTCACGCTGTTGTCACTTCCAAACACTATATGCTTACATTCCCACCGTCCCACATATTCCCACAATTCTTTTGAGCCATTGTTTCAGAGGAACATGTGCAGAGATATGTGCTGTTGTCAAAACTTGTAGTGGGTTAAACAGCGATCGCTTTTCACCTTTTCTAAATTTGTTTATATAAAGCACATTGATGCAAGCCTTTTCAGGGTCTTGGCAAGGATAGGATGATGATGATGATGATGATGATGATGATGATGATGATGATGATGAGTTTTGACCATGGCAGGTTAGACGTTGCTGGAATCGGGGATGTTTTGGGTCAAATCTCTTCCTGGGGAAAGCCAAACTACTTGTTTCATGGTTACACAGCAGGGCCTGCGATACCAGAAAAATTTGACTTGAGTCCTGCCACTGACTCCTGCTGGAGTGCAGGTCACCCTGGTTACAGCATGCCGCGACAGACACGTGGGTGTGCTTCAGTGCTTTGGGGCCGTCCGGGGATTCCCAAACTGATGGAGGGTTTTCGCCAACCACAGGCTAACAGCTCACAATCTCTGAAGACCAGGTCTAGCCGCCTAAAACATGAGTTCAACATCGTTCCGCCAGTCTATTTCTGAAAAGCACCAGGTCACAATGAACTGGTTTGTTCGTCATCCCCTTGGTTCTTCAGACTCCGTCTGCGTTCAGTCCCAGGAGTGCATCAGTCGCTTCGAAACCTTTTACCTGGCAAAGCACACAGGCGTCCGCCGCTTCTTTTTGGCACCCAAATTGAGAGTTGGTCTTCAGAAGCCGTGGGGCTTTACTGTGAGTGAAAAACCTTTGAAGAGAATTTGGAATGAAGGAACTACTTGCTTGGACCTGTCTTATTTGCCCCTAACCTACATCCAGCTGGTGCCTTTCTTTCAATGCCCGACCTGTGAATCTGGATCAATCTCTCTGTTTGTTTCTGAACCTGCCATGACCCGGTTCGCCTTTGAAGAGAAAGCTATCCCAATCCAAACTGACCGCAGGTCGCAAGCTTACCTGGCAGCCGCAGTATGGGGCAGCTGACCTCAAGGTGGTCTGCCGCACGCCTGCTCCGAGTGTTCTTCCGGCATGCGATTCGGGGGTGACCACAGGATTTTGCTTTTGTGGATGTGTGGATTTGGATCCTGGAGAAATGACAGAAGTCAGACAAGAAATGGAGTGAAATACAAGATCCACTGGCCAGTTCGGCGCAGCGAAGTGATTGCACTCGTTGGCTTTTCGGACGATGCATGGGGATAAAACCTGTCCAAAAGTTCACACCATGTATGAGGAGGCATCTTTAACTGCTGCACAAGATTGACATGCAAGTTTCCAACGGTACCTCTACGATGGAGAGGCTCAAATGCCCAAGACGAAGCATGAGCTTAGTGCCGGGTCTCTCAGAGTGAGCTTAGTTGGCAATCGTCCAACTTACAGCTTCAAGAACCTGATCAACCTGAGCTGTAAGAGCTCGTGGTCCTACGAAAAAGTGCCGAACAAGGCGAACTCGGTCATCCTTTGCGCCGGTCCACACCAGGACCACCTCTACCCCTCTTCGTTTGTTTCGAAGAAGAACAAAAACAAACCCAATGGTTCCGATGGCTAATCCAGCGGTGTACCACCGGTCCTTCTCACCTTCCAGACGTTGAACTGGCCGAGGTCTCAACGTATCAGATGTGCATTTTGATGCTCTTCAACCAGCAGCCCACATGGACCTACCAGGCGATCGGGCCGTTGTAAAACATGGGCGTTCGCTGAGCGGTGGGAGGATTTGGCTGGCATGTGCCGAGTGGCACAGCTTGCACCTGAAGAATCATGAGGGTCCTGCTACAGATTATTATAGAGATTTCATGAGGATTCTAAGATTTTTGAAGTAGCAATGAGGACGAAGAGACTCCAATTGGAGACTCGGAATCACTTGGCATTGAGTGCTTATATACTCACTAGACATTCGTCGGAAAGAGGATTTGAGGAGTGGTGCGACTTGCATCTACAGATCTCCTTGTTATGACGTTATGACGAACTCGCTTTTCTTTTTCCAGCAACGCACCGGCTCAGACTGACTGCCCAGACCAGCCCTTTTTCGGGAACGATACGGCTGTGGGTGTCATGGCACCTGGACCCCTAAACTCTGGGAATGGTTGACTCAGTCGTAGTCTATTCTGTTCATCGAAGCGGTCAGCCGGTCCGGTCCCCCGGTTTCGACCCATCACCGGTCTCAGTCTTTCGACACGACGGCCCAACATCTCGGACGGCCAGGATATTCGCTTGCGAACCAACATCCCTGTAGAGCCTGTGGATGAGTTGAAGAGGCACCTTCAGAGCCTCTACGTGAACCCGAAGGCACAAGATTCTGATGGGTTTCGGCTGAAATTGTGGTTGAACATTCTAACGGCGGCAGAGTCACCCTCCAAAGCTCATATTTGGATAGGGATCAATCATGATAGGCATGTAATTAATTATATATATATATATACATACACAGACGCCAAAATTTTATAATATTGTATCTCTCCCTCTACATAACATATCCCATGACCCACATTAAATATTAGAGTACTCTGAAGCAATGATCCACTCGTACTTGCTGACCTTTGGGCGATCGTTGATCCTTTGGGCGAAAGTTGGTGGTTCTTTTCCACCCCAACATCCATATGTTCTGACACCCCAAGCGATCCGATTACAAACCGCATGCCATCAGGTTGAGCAGTCGAAGAAGAAACACAGATTAAGAGCTTGAAGACTACTAATTGGAAGCTCCCATGCCACCCAGCAATTGAACACACACCCCATCACACCCCACATAATCACTGGTGGATGTGTTTCTTTTGGGTGTTATGATGTGCGGGGTGATGATGCCAATGGATTCGCAGTGACCAGCGATTGCCGGCGAACCTTGCGGCTTCGAGGCAAAGATCCTCGTGAAACTGGGAGATGGTGAGAAGAAGGAGCCTGAGGAGAACGACCAGCGACCCGGCTCTGCTTCGCCCAGTATGTGCTAGGTTGAAGCCAGTCCTCAAGTGGATGGAGTATGAAAGAGTTCAGAATTGCATCAGTTCAGCTATCTATGGCGGGAGGCTCATATTTAAAAAACCAGTGGTCATGTCAGGCCATATCCAATAACTTCACTGCCATGTACAAATGATGAGCTGTCCACTGTGTAATACCATCCTCATTACGTAGACACCAATTCGCCTGGGACCAATTCGCCTCCCACGAAGAACAGCCTCCCTTTTGGCGATGACACGGGCTAAAGGGTGCTGAAGATTAAGTCGATGCTGTCGCCTCCGCCTATTCACTCACGAGATGCCGCGATGCTCTTCACTCAGGTTTATGGTGAACCCCCAGTTTGAGAGCAAGCTCTTGAGGATCAAAGTGCCAAGCTGAGGGGCCTGAGGAGAAGCAACATCGGAAAAGCAGTTTGAGCATCAAGCCGTGGATTCTGTGGCTAGGTAGGAGTCTTGGCTGCCAGTGTGTGTATCTGTTGGGAAAAGAGAAGAACCCATTGGATGAGACATGTTGCTGCACCCCAACGTTGTCATGTTTTGGCTGGGGCTCTTTCTTTATCGAAGCAGCCAAAAGCGTGAAGCGACCATTGTGGGACATTCTGGCCTGTTCTACTCTTACGCCCCCGGATTTCCGAGTGTCTAGATAGCATATGAAAGAGGAAAGAGGTGTTTCTCTCACCACAACTGTTTCGTCCTTGACTAAACCATTTCCACGACTCGACGAAACAGGGCCTGTTTGCTTTTGACCGTGGCCAGGTGCCTTTGGTACTGTCTAAGAACACTGAGTCGGCCACTGGAGCTCCCCAGGCGAAGCTGGAAACGAAAGGTTTCACAGGCACAAACGAGGCTCACTTGTGGACGCTCGAATGGACAAGATGTCGCAAGAAGGGTGGAGATTCTGGACTCTCTCTCTCTCTGCAAAAACGCATCTTTGCGCTTTTTGGGCAGCTGACGCATTCTGGTACATCTCCTTTTGCTGGATGGACAGTCCGTGGATGCATGGGGGATACAGAGTGGAGACTTTCAACGACAAGCACCATGGGCCCTTCAGGTGACACCCTTCAGCGCCCACGTGTTACGCGTAGCACGCGTAACGTCAATGATGGCTTGGGCATGAGACCTCGAGGTACCTCACATGGTACCTCGAGGTTTTGGGTCAATGCTGCTTGAGGTGTTTGGTTCAATGCCTTTCGAGTAGCCCCCCAGGTCACGCGGACTTTTCACTGCTCATTTCCTTTGATTGCTGACTTCTCATGCAGCATGAACCTGACGCTGATAAATGTGTAGAAGTAGTTAGGTGTAAAGGAAAGCTTCTGATTCAGCTGTAGTCCCCTTTCTGGTTATTGTGGACGCCCTCTCAACACCCTCCTCCCCACAGTCCACAGCAGAATGCCACCTCTGGACAGTTCGTGTTGGAGACGAAAGACAAGAGTTTCCCCCCAAAAGTCTCGGAATCATCACTAAGCCTGAGCCCTTTTGCATCCAAGCCATCCGTAGCTTCTTCCTTGCTACGAGCTGCCTACTGGACCACTCACCTCTCAGATCCTCTCAGCCTGCTCCCCGACGGCCTCCCGGCCTGCTCAAAAGAGGGTTGACTCACCTGGTCTACCAGTTGCTCCACCGAACTGGTCCAACGGACCACAAACCGCTGGAGCCAGGGTGCCGATGGCCCCAGCGACGTGCCAGCCACGGTGGAGGAGGACACCCACGCGAGCGGGACCTGGCCTCACCAGTCGTCCACGACTGCAGCTTAGCCTGAAAGAAATTGGGACGCCCAAAGAAGCAGATTTTTGGACCTCCTGGCCTCTCCAGAAGTTGAACAAGTAGGCAACTCTTTTGAGATGGCTTGTCTCATTCACAGAAAACCATAACCATCCAGGATGGTTGCAATTAGCTCTCCCTCCATCGTGATTTCCTGAATTGACCTGGTTTTCACCGCGCAGACCAAACAACGCCTTGCTACGCAGCCCTGTCTGCAGGACCGAAAGCACTTGGTGGAGGCACCGATGATGAAACCATTGAGTGTTTTGGACACGAATCAAGTCGATGGAGCCCAGTCGATGGATGAAGCTCCTCGTCACTCGCTGGGTTCATGAAATATTGACCAAACCCTGCAAATAAGACCAAATATCTTTGTGAGGCAAGCCAGGTCTTGCGATACAGAAGGGAAAGGCCGAAAAAGACAAGACTGTCAATGGTTGCAGGACATTTGGGGTGCATTTTCTTTTCTCACATCTCATAAACTCATAAATCCGCAAGAGCAAACTGCAGACGTCCGGCTCTCCATTAGCTAAATAATGCTAAGCACATGGAGTCAGTGTCCTGTAGGATGGTGTTTCCTTCCATGTAGTGGATCAGGAATAATTTTCCAGTCTTTCTTTTTCCTCAATGTTGTCTCCCAGGCAAGTCTGGTATTGGCTAGCAGCCAACAGAAAATTGTCCAATTGTCACTGTATTTTTGGAGCTGGTCACCCAGCCCAAACGGACAGGGCTCAGCAGGCAGTCGAAGATTTACGGGCTTGAAACGGATCAAGGAAACCTGAGGGCATAAAGTCATTCGGATGCTTCTACAAAAGATCCATCCAGGAATCCAGATTTGGCTTTCAGTCTGCAGTACTTCTTAGTGCTGGAGTTATTACAGTAATCCTGGGTGAAAGCTGCCAGGTCTCATATTGCAGTCTCATTCTTCATCTATATACTTGCCTACACCATCCTACACCAAGGAATAACAGGTTTTTGCGATTCAAATTCAGCGGCAGAGAGTTGTCCTCCGCCTCTCTCCAGGCGGTCGTGGTGCGAGTCATGAAAAGTCGCAAGACACTGGAGCTGATGCGGTCGAGTTCTCCGTGTGCCGATGTGCTTGGGGTCAGTGTGCCGAGCTTCATGTGCAAGTGAACCTTCTTTGATGGTTCATGATTCTGATGGGCTTTTGCTTGAGATCTTTTTGGGGAGGTCTTCTCCCAACTCGTGGCAACAAAGAAATTGCTTAAGGTGGTTCTTTGCGTTCAGGCGGTCAGGCGGGGTGTCCTCACCTTGAGAAAGGCTAGTTGCTAGTGCTTTTCTGTTTCGGGAGGATGATGCCGGTGGCTTCTCCATGGTCCAGAGGGTGAATATGATGGTCCCCAGGAATTCGTTCGTTGGATCATTCAGTTTTGCCAAGAAAGCCACCATCCGGATACCCAACAGGCGCAAACTTCTCCTTTCGTTGGGTCTGCATCAGAGAGAGAGACACTGCGCTGGTCTTGGTGCCAACATCCAATGTCCAGCCGAACGCACTTGGATAGCGATCGCAGTTTTATGGTGAAACAGCGATTGCTCGCTACTAGTATTGATTGCTATTGGTGGGTTCAATGTTTATATTTGTGAAGCAGCGCATTTGGCGAGGCAACAACTCTTTCAGCGGTTTCCTCACAGGTTTAAATGCTTTCATGTATTTGTTCATACCCCGAGGTGGCCCCTTCTGTTGAATCTGATCCTTTACTTGAGTCTGAAGGTCTTTCCTGGTCGAGGTTAGTATGCTTCTTGCTTGTTCATCCGAAATCAGGAGCACAACCAGCTCGTGATGGAGGCTGCAGAAACAACCGATTTCGGAGTGAAGGTTACGAAAGCACTCCAGTGCAGAAAAGTAGCACGCCATTCTTCTAATTCTACTCGGAAGGGTAGGGAATCTGGTTTTCATTGGTTTTCCTTGAATTTCTATCCTTTGAATCGCGTTGGATAATTTCCAACCACACAAATTTACCTTCTGGTCGACCAATTCTCGACAAAACCAACACAGTACCTTCATCAGTGTCACACTGCATGGCTGCATGGCTACTAGTTACGATTGGGTTTGTATTCGCGACGCTGGTCAGCAGTACTCCTGAGTAGGTTGGTTACGACACTCTTTTGAAAGGGGAGACTACCAGGAAGGGCCGTGGGCCGTGGGTAAGAAAAAGTCAAGGATATCCTGGTTCACGGAAAACCAGTCAAAAATCTGAATTCAGTCAAGAATCCTTATTTTTGTCATACCATACATGTGTATAGGAATATACAATCTGATGCAAATAGATATATGATATAGTCGTTGCAGAGATAGAGTTGCAAACAGCATGTGCATGTATGACTATAGATGCTTTGTGTTGTCTCCGGAATTCAACAGTGAACCCACTTGGGAAGGGTGGTAGAACAAATAGCACTAGTTTCCAATTCCATATTTTGTGAGTCACATGCAATTTAGCTATTCTGCATGAAAAGACACGTTTGTCTATAGAACCGAATCACATCTCAATCAACTTTAGCATGTCGCAGACAATGACGTGACATACGTGTGTGCATACTGAGATAGTTAGTAATGTAGATATAAACCGCAGAGGCATGCGCCTTCTCCTTACTAGCACTGATTCTGGAGTCTTGAGCATTTGCCTGTAACTGTCATCCGTTCATATTTTTTCTTCTTTGGATCATTGGCCAGCAAGAACTCTCATCGACTCTCAACATATGCATCGGCTCGGGTGAAGCCGGGGGCACAGATGTGGAGCACAAAGCCGGCACCGATTGGATTGAGCTGATTGAACTGGAGCGACCAAACGATCTGCCAGGTGACAAGGCACTTGACCGCTCGGTTCCAGCCATCACCAACGCTCATCAAGCAGCGGATCGAAAAGCTGATTGAGAGGGAGTGGGAGAGCTCAGCAGTGAACCTTATCGCCGAAAACCCGTCGGATCTTTGAAATGAACCTTAGCCGCTAGGAGGTAGTAGCTAGAGGTAGCTAGTAGCTACAAGAACGCTACTACCTTGGACGCAGGATAGCTCGCGCTTCCTTATTGAAGAAGCACTCGCACTAATGATTTGGTTTCTAGATTTTAAGGGAAACTTAAGAGACATGCGATCTCAGCGATTTCGGCACCTGCCATGTGCTTTTCCAAGGCCCCATCAAGTCCGTTCAGACTAGAGAGAGAGAGAGAGAGACACCATGATCTGTAAGGTACCTAACTGCCTGGCATGATACGCACAGATTCGGGGCCGCGTGAGTCTGTGGTGTTCCGCGCGCTTTGAGGGACCTACTCGGTGCGGTCGTGGTCGACTATTCGAAGTCTTTGGACTGAGGTACTTGGAAAGATCACAGGCAGATAGGAGAGCAAACAAGGGATGAGAATCGGGGCTGGGATGAGCTGAAGGGTTACTGTACAAGCCATACCTTCGCAAACCTTCCCCAAGGTTGTTTGAGTGGATATCAAGTTCGAACACTGGGGTGAAATAAGGTCTCTGCTGCTGGGTGGACAAATGAAGACATGTCTCTTCAAGCAAGTGCAGCAAAAGAATCTTGGGCTCATCCATGGGACCGGTGTTTCTGTACACTCCAATCTAAAGTGGATACATTAATAAGAGTCTTTTTCAGCAGCAAGACTCTCATGGTCCTTTGAGCAGGTAGAAAACACGGGTCGAAACGGAGAATGAAGTACTAAGAAGTCTCCTGGAAGCTTGAGCGAGACTCAGGTGAAACTAGGTAGCTCAGTCACAGAAGGGCTCACCACACCCATTTAGAAAGGAACTTGGAAGAGTGTGTATTGTTGCCGACACCAAAATCCAAACAAATGGATTTGATCACCATTTGTGTGCCATTGCAGCCACCAAAGTGGTCACCAAACTTGTATCTTACGGTCAAGCAGTTGGGCCCCCTCCTTCTATGTGAACCTCGGAATTCCAAAAGCAAAAGACTTTGATGCTCGATCCGCGTCTCTGGTGACAGGAGAGTTTACAACTATTTGGCCTGAGGGGACGCCTGGGGGCTGTCCATGTTGCCAGACTCACAGCCTGTTTCATCCATCTGAAGCCGAAAGCGAGTCCTGTGTTGTTTTTTGTTGGGACGATGTGAACGGGTTGGTGAAAAGATGTCCAAACTAGCCTGGTCCAGATGAGCACATCAAAAATCAACATTATTCTTTCCTTTCTGACTTCTTTCATCAAGGTTCTTTCTCTGGGATGGGGCCAAAGGGGCTGTGACGACGGCAGAATCGAGTTTCCAACCATCCAATGGAATCCTGCGAACCTCGGACTCCAGTATTGAAATCCTGCCGTTCTGGGCCATCCTGCAGTATATTCGTGGCCCATGCTTTGAACAATGCATTGTGTGATGAGCGTTAGAGAACGAACGCATGAAAGCAGATGAAAGGTAACTTCTTTTTTTCAAGCATGGGCATAGCATGGTGCAGCTTACATTTCTTGGCTCATTGGTTGGATATCGCCGATCTCGCAGATCTCGCATGCGTTAGCTTTCTTGTCTCACCCTTCGATGGTGCAGAGCCACTCTTCCGGAGCCATCCGGAGGTGCTGTACAGGCACAACGTGGGCATCGATCCCAAGAGTCGAAGCTAAAAGAAGTCGAAGCTTCTTTTCGATGGGCCTGCTGTTTTGGTGCAGTGGTGCCACTGATTGGTTCTGATGTCATTGACAACAGCTTGTACCTTGAACCTCGTGTTACCATGCAAAAAACATATCACAAGGTATTGGATGATATTGGCATTGCAGCTCTTTATGCAATGGGTGTATGGTACTGGGTGACAGCAAGGCTTGGTCCCTCGGAGGCTTTTGGCGAGCACATCAATATTAGAAGCACAGGTCTTGCATCCAAATTAGGTCTTTGGTATACAAAATTCATGCTGTGAATACGACAGTCCAAGGAGTTTCCAACTCCAAAGAGTTTCTTGCTTCAGTTCCTTCATATTCCATCCTCAGAATGAACATGGGAGGTCCAAATGGTAAACATCTCTGGGGCTTCCTGGATTGATTGAGCTGTTCCTTCAAGTGAAGCACGGTTTGTTTGCATGAGGCAGTCTGAGGCGGCTCCACTTTTTTGGATCCCTTGGTGGTGCTTAAGACCAGACTTGGCGTCATAGCGCCTGATGCCATATGCTTCCATTCGCCACCGAAGTGTATAGCGAATCTGGCAAATGCCACATTGGAAGGCAAGCAAAGCACTGCAATGGTGACACACCAGACCAGATTGAGGTTCGGAAGCACACGGAAACCATCAGCTTGCAGAACACACCACACACCAGACAATGCCAGACAAGCCCAATTTTCGGAAGCGCTGCCCTCATCACAGTTGTGACACCCACGAGATAGAAGGCACTTGTACCCCGCCAAAGAGGCTGACATCAGTTTTAATACATCTTTAAATCGGATTCACTTTTCTATTTTGGAAATGGACTCTGCTTTACTCTCACTGTGACATACATCGGTTCCAGCATGTTCAGCTTTGTTTTGGGGAGTGCCAAAAGGCAGCCACCCAGGGCCTCCCCCAAAAACCACTTCAGCCTCCCCCCATACCCCCATAGACACCCAACGGTAGGACAAACGGGTGGAATGAGCGGAATGTGAGCGTCATGGCCATGGCCTTTGAGGCGACCGCAAGAATCGATCTCACGAACGCGTCGGTGTTTCTCTCGTGAAAGCTTTCCGAAAGCTTTCGGCAAAGACATCTCCGTGTTTCACAGTGTGAAAGAGCATGAAGGAGCGCCAAGACATCCTCCTCGAAGTGACACCAACATTGCTCTTATCAGGATGGAGGCCATCGCTAGTAGGATGGAGGCCATTGCTATTAGGATGATAGAGGCCATCTCTTGTGCCGTGCTGAGAAACTGTTGCCTTTCTGCCAGGCTGGCACGTACCCTTGCTGGGAGCTCTTGGAGTGTCAGGGCGAGGCGAGCCGAGTGTCCAACCCCGGTACAGCAGGTCACTCATAGACTTCTAGACTCCAGACTCCAGCCCAAGAATTAGAACGTTAGCATAGCCTGTGACGAGGGAAGAGTTCTGGAGCCGAGCTTGACTCATCAGGATCAGAAGATCAAGAAGGATATATACATTATATAGTATATATATTGTTTGAAGTTCTAGCTCGCGGTCTCAGACCACGGAGAGCTTCAAAGTAAAAAAAATAATGCCTGAAGTGACAGAGTGCACAAGCGCACGCGCGCAGCTCCGGCTCGCACGGAGCGGTTGTTCCGCGGCATCAGGTGCCTCAGAGTCGATCTGGACACACCTGCGCGCTGTACAACAATCGGTAAGCCCGGGCGGGCCCTTGGGCGGGCCTTGGCGGGGTCGGTTTGGCCGACGCACCGTGATTGGTTGGGGTTCCAAAACAGAGAAAAGACCTGGATATGGCAACAACGGCAACAACCTTTTTTGCAAATCTATTTTCTCTCGTTCAAAAAGTGAGAAAGCACATGACATGCAGTGTGCAGAACCAAAATCCTACAGATTAGATGATTTGATCATCAATGATCATCGTGTTGATTCAAACTGTTCTTCGTCGAACTTCTTTTTTCATTGCTCCACACTGTGACTGCCCGCCATAGAGGTGTGGCCCTTTTCCGGCATATTTGCATCCTCTCCCTGGCCAAGCTGTGTGGGAAACCGAGCTTCCCAGAGTCCTGGAGTGAACATGAGTGAACAACGAGCTAGGTACCTCTACATCTTCGGTGGTTTTGACGGCTCCAGCTGCTTCGATGATTTGTACGTCTTGGACTTGGAGACGAGGCCCAGAAATTCGGATCCTTTTTGGGAGATGGGTGAGTGAACATCCTTTGGTTAGAGAGCGACCTCTATCAATCTTACCAACAAATTTCTCCTGTACACTCAGCCATTACACGATGACCATTCCGAAAGGTTTTGCGGAGAGACGACGTACGGAGGCTTCCTCTTAGATGAATCATGAATCAAGCTTTGTGAGGAGCCACTTATTGCAATTCAAGGCCAATGGTTATTGTGTATTAGTTACAGTAGGTGGATTCATCTTCTGAATCCAGCAACATGCCAGAAAGTCTCTTTTGGGGTTTTTCTCAAGAGAGGGAAGTCCGACAAAAAAGAGAACACCCCACATGCTCCTAGTAGTAAGGCCAGGAGCCCCTAGTAGCCTTCTTGCTCCTAGTAGCGATGCCCTTTGCCTAGTAGCGTCCTTGCTCCTAGTAGTAAGTTAAGGCCAGGGGCCCCTAGTAGCTTTCTTGTTCCTAGTAGCGATGCCATGAGCCCCTAGTAGCGTCCTTGCTCCTAGTAGTAAGGCCAGGAGCCCCGAGTAGCGTTCTTGTTCCTAGTAGTAGCGATGCCATGAGCCCCCTAGTAGCGTCCTTGCTCCTAGTAGTAAGGCCATAAGCCCCTAGTAGCGTTCTTGTTCCTAGTAGCGATGCCATGAGCCCCAGTAGCGTCCTTGCTCCTAGTAGTAAGGCCAGAAGCCCCTAGTAGCGTTCTTGTTCCTAGTAGCGATGCCATGAGCCATGAGCCCCTAGTAGCGTCTTTACTCGTAGTATGGCCAGGAGCCCCCAGTAGCGTTCTTGCTCCTAGTAGCGATGCCCTTTGCCTAGTAGCGTCCTTGCTCCTAGTAGTAAGGCCATGAGCCCCTAGTA